GGAAGAAAGGGGTGAAGCATGACTTTGACGTTTTGTACAAAATCTAGTCCCAGCAACTTAACGTTAGTTTCAGGAAACTTCAAAAATATTGGGGACTACTATAATACAATTTGGCCTCATAAGAAACTAATTTGAGGGGCTGGTGTTACAGTGAAGTAGGCTAAGCCTTTGTCTGTGGCACCTGCATTCTTTATGGATTCTGGTTCATGTCCCGACTGCTCCACTTCTAATCTAGCTCCCTGCTAATGCGCATGGGAAAACAGCAGAAGGTGGCTCAAGTGCTTGGGCCCCTGCACCCATATGGAAGAACCAAATGAAGCTCCTAGCTCCTGGCTTTTGACAGGCCCAGCTCTTGCTGTTGTAGCCATTTGGGGAGTGAACCAGCGAAAGAAAGATCTCTTTAAGTTTCTTCTTCTCTCTATAACATTGCCTTTCAAATAAAAACAAAGCAAATCTTAAAAAGATAGAGAAAAACTAATTTGAGGCCTGGGCTTTCAGTGCGGAGTTAAGGCACTGCTTGGAATGACCGCAATGCATATCAGAGTTCCTGATTGGAGTCCTGGCTCTGCTTCCCTCCAAGGTTTCTGTTAATCCTCACTCAGGGGGAGGGGGACAGCAGGTGACAGACACACATGGGAGACAGAAATTGCATTCTGGGCTCCAGGCTTCATTTTGGCCTAGGCATCATTGTGGTGGGCATTTGGGGAGGGGAATCAGCAGAAGAAAAAGATCTTCCTCCATTTGTCTCTCTCTCTCTGCCTTTTAAGAAATAAGAGGGCTAGGTATAATGCATTGTCCTTATAGGAAGCTGGTTGTAGAGCCTAGATCCTGAGTGGAGTGTGGGAACTCCAAACGAGAGCAAAGAGAAGCTCCCTCTTCCAAGGCCTTTCCAGAGAATGAGTGCTGCCCTCTGATTCTCACGGACTGCCCTGCCCTGAGCAAGGCTGACATGCAGCCCAGTGGCACGGCGGGCACACCCTCGGCCATGGCAGACCCACGATGGCCTTCCTGCCCTTCCCTGCCCAACCCCTCCCACCCACCTGGTTTGGACTGTTTCCTTCATTCCCGGTGTGACTGTCTGGCATGGCCATCCTGGGAGGCCATGCAGGCCAGGGCCATGGCAAAGCTGCCTGGGGACCCTGGAGGTGAAGACAGCAAGTCCACTCCCAGTCACAACCACAGCTCCATCAGGAGCTCCTGTGTGGCTGGGAGACAGACACAAAACTTTGAGTTATGTGAACTCTGTGTTCTGAGGCCAAAAAAAAAAAAAAAAAGTGATAGCCCATGTGAGGTTTGTTCATCAATTCTGGCTGCAGGCAAGATAAGGCCCAGAACACCAGGCACCTGTCAAAAACACACCCAGGAAGGTGGAACGGGTTTTCCAATTTAGGTGCTGAATAAGCCCGAACAGGTGTCTGTAGCTTGACCTATTTCCTTGATATCCTTGGTGGTTAACTTTGGCCACTTCCGGCCTTTCTGACACCTGGTCTTTTTGGTTTGATGCATTTCTGGTTTATCTTCTCCCCAGGGCCAGCCCTACTTCCTGAAACAAACACTTTTTTTTCCCACCAATGAGCAGAGGGCTCATCTGTACTGACTCAGTTTCTGGGGGAGGGGCCAGTGCTGAGGGTATGGAAGACATGTGTTTACTGCTACAATTTCAGAATTCCAGGGCATTTTGACTTGTTATAGGCAAAGCTGGAGCAGAACACTTGAGGTCTGGCTTGCCCTGGGATTGTGGGGTCAGACCATAGTGACCTGTTTCCAGGTAGCCTGCATGATGCGGGCAAGACAAGATGTGAACTTTGAAACAACGACCTGCAGACTCTGGCTGGCCGTGGCTGAGAGGGGTGACGTGAGCTCAGCCTCTGTTTCCCAGCTGGAAGACCAAGCTCAAGATGTTTTTCAGGGTGCCGGCTCTGTGGCTCAGCAAGGTAAGCCACTGCTTGCCATATCCGCATCCCAGCTGGTATTGCCATTTTCCCCAGCTGTAAGCAACTACCTAGGTTGCCTTGTACCTAGGCGAATGTTCCACTGCTGGGAGAAGATGCTGTAGAGCATTCCGGACCTGGTTAATGCCAAATTGATCTTCAAACAGCATAGCTGCCTATTCTGTCTTCTTTTTTCGAAAGGTTTGTGTGAGGGGGCCAGCAGGCCTGCAGGAAGACCACCCTGGGTCCCACAGCAGCAGGGAGTGTGTGGATTATCTGTGGAATAGGGGTTTGAGGATGTGTGAGTGGGGGCCACTGAGGGAGTACTTTACATCTGTGTGATGACTTCTGGGGGCTTCCATGGACCAGGCCACTGCACCTGCAGGTAAATGAGGGAGCTGAGACTGGATGGTTTAGAGAGGGGAAGCCAGAGGGCATGTCATGTCCAGGCAAATGCACCTGCCCACATGGGAGACCTGGGCTGGCTAGGTAGTATCACTGCCTGCCTGCTGGCAAACACAAAAGCTAGGGTTGGGGGGCCTGGCAGGGTTAGACTACAGTATGGGCAGTGAGTGTCCAGGGCAGGGAGTGGACCACACAACACTGGGCCATGACACCAACCAGCACACAGGAGAACTAGATCTGGGAGCAGATTCTGAAAGAGGTATGTGGGCTCACCCCTGTGGATCTGCAGTATCCACTGATTTGTGTGAGAGCAGGGAGTAGTGTTGGGCCAATCCAGGCATGACCATGGACCTTATCTGATACACATGGGAACCAAGGTTGGGAGCAGGACGTGCTGGCCCAGGCTGCAACAAGCATGGGTATGCCAGAGAATCGAGTCTAGGGATGGGTAGGGCCACAGCAGCCATCAGCACATGCAAGGGTCAGGGCTGGGGGTGGGGGGAGTAGACTGTGCAGGGACCTAGAACCTGCCACCATACATGAGATCCAGGTCTGGGAGCTGGCCTGGTGGGGCAACTTGAAGAACTCTTCTATTAGGTCGCAGTTCCCAGTGATGAACACGTCAGCCAAGGCTGGGGGTAGGCCAGGCCAGGCAGGGTTGTACCAGCATGTGTATAAGCTGGCTTGGGGAAGAAGAGGTAGCTGGGCTGGGCTGACCTGGGCCAAGTCATATCACATAGTAGCACATGCAGAAGCCAGGATGGGTGTGGGCTATGCCAGGCTAGGCCATTTCACCTGCCAGTTCACATAAGAGCTAAGGATGCAGGGGAGAAAAGTGATGATATTAGTGTGGAAACAATATTATCCACTTTCCTGTAGTCCTTGACCCTTTTTGTACCCTAATCAACTAAGTAAGATTATTTAAAAAAAAAAACTTTCAAGAAAGAGCTACGGTTGCGGGCAGGTTGGGCAGGGCTAGGTCGTGGCACCGATGGTATGTATGAGAGCTAGATGGGATATGATGCCACATCAGACTGCTGGACATACCAGCACATACAGGAGCTGGGCCTGAAGGCAGGCCTGGTGGGGGTCACCCCAACTAGGCCGTGACACCCTCTGGTGTGCCAGTGGCTGGGTTAGTGGCAGATTGGGTTGGTCTACGTTGCAGCACCCATTGTTCTGCATGGGAAATGGAGCTAGGCATGGAATTGATCAGGCAGCTGCATTGACCGGTATGTGTGAAGGCTGATGCGAGTGGCAGACTAAACTGGATCCTGCACTAGATGGAGCACATAGGAGTCAGATCTGGGGGTCACCCCAGACAAGGCTTCTTGGGAGATTAGACCCCTAGACAAACTCTGGCCTCAGAGAAAATCATAAGATGTGACTAAACTCTGGAGTGCATATGTGGAATCTGGCCTTCTCAGTTAGTGATGCCTGTGCAGTGGACAGCATACCCAGATGCACATGAGAGACATGACAGCCAGCTCGTCTAGGCTGGCAGAGTGCACTGAGTGCCTTGTCAGAGGATGGAAGGCAAGACAGGTTGGACGACTCTCCTGGTCAAGCTTTGCAGCATGTCCTTGGGTCTGTGAATGCACTAAAATGAACTTGGTCATCTCTTTTCTGCATTTGGTAAGATCAAGTGTGGACCTGGTCAGCTAACAGACCTTGGAAAGTTTTCCACAACATGGAACAACGAAAATGATGTCTCAGAACTATCAAAACGACTCAAAGAACAGGTGGGGCTGCATGTTGCCGCCAGGAGGCCTGGGCTGGAGCAGATCAGGAAGGGGGCTGGCTTTGGAGCAGGTATCAGACTCCTGGCAACGGACTCTGGCCTTGCCTGCCTCCAAGGTGCCGACAGGACATGCACACAGGGGAAGGTCGCACAGGTGCATGGTGCATGGTAGCCTAATACACGGGGTCTCTGTGGTAAAGAGGTAGAAAGGGAGAGGAGCAAGCAGACACCATACAGGCAAGGGGTTGCAGTGGCCTGAGGCTGGCACAGCTGGCAAGGCACAGGTCAGGAAAGGAACCGGGGAACTGTCTAGGGGGTGCTCACAGGGATTTCAGAGGCTTGATTCCTCTAACAGAAAAAGGGGATCTCCCCATTCCGGGACTCTGCACCAGTTTCTGGGATGTTAGTGGGAAGGCCAGGTGTTCCAGCCAGAGGCTGGCTCCAATAAGAAGACCGTGGCGGGGGGTGGACGGGGTAACGGGCGCGGCCGGGAGCAGACCAACTGGCAGAGGAAGGAAAGCAGGAACCAGAGGACAGAAAACGCCTTCTGACACTGCCCCTGGCTCACCACCAAAACAAACGGACAGGGAGCGAGAGCGCCGCTGCAGGGTGACGGAGGCCTTGCTCGTGAGGTTCGGACGCGTCTCGCGTGGAGCACCCACGGTACCGCCTTTCCTCCACTCGCTCCCCTCCCTGGTCTCCCCTCCGCCCCCTCTCCGCCCGCCCGCAGCTCGGGAGCCGCAGGTTCCCAGCACTGACGTCAGCAGGCGATGACCTCAGCGCCGAGGAGGTGGCGGGGGCGGAGGAGGGGCGAGGCGTGTCCACGGCGACCCCACCCGCGTCCCCTGTCCCTCGCCAATGGGCGCCGCCGCCGCTGGCCCCGCCCTCACGGAGCCTATGAAAGGCGCGGTCCCGGGAAGTCCGCGCAGAGCTCGAGGAGCGGCCAGGCTGCGACCCTGGCTCCCCGGCAGGACCCGCGGACACCTCCGCCTGGGACACCTCCGCCTGCTCCTGGCGTTACGCACGACATGAGCCACGGGCAGAGAGCCGACATGGTGCCGGAGATCGCCGCGGCCGTGGGCTTCCTCTCCAGCCTCCTGAGGACGCGGGGCTGCGTGAGCGAGCAGAGACTCAAGGTTTTCAGCACGGCGCTCCAGGAGGCGTTAACAGGTGAGCGCCGGGCCTCGGCCCCCTCCCCGCAGCAGCGACTTTCAGCTTTCGGGGTCGGGTGGTTCTGGCTGAGCGCGCCTCTCCATCCCAGGGAGCTGATCTGAGCTTCCCGGTTGTGCCCCGGGACAAGAGGGACCCCGTGGATCTGATCGGGTGCTCGTCACCTTTGCTGGGACCCTACACCTGGGACCTTGGAAGCAAAGAGCGGGTCAACGAAACCCCTCCGGCCGAGGGGGTCCTTGTGGGAGAAGGCGCACGGGAGGCTTTTCCAGTCTGCCTCTCTGGACGTGGGCTCCCTTTGTCTTCTCTGTTCTGTGGTCGATCTCAGGCGTCCGCCACTGACTGTGGTGTGGAGAGACGGGAGCCAGTACCCGCACGCTGGGAGAGGGCGTGAGACAGGGATGTGCGGTTGGCTGGCGAGGAGACCCAGCTCCCTTTCTGCCGGCTTGGCTGGAGCTGGGTTCTGCCCACCAAAGAACAACACAAAGTTTCAACCCAGCTATCCGTGTCCACTCCTTGGAGGGAAGGAAATGAGCCTCTGGGCTGGAACAGGAGGCCCAGGGGCTGTTTCTGGTTCCATCAGAGCTGGCAGCTTCCTTGGCCTTGAGCCATGGCTCTGAAGTCCCCAGAGCTTCTGTCTGGACATGCCTTCCCTCCTCATACCTCCGGGCTGCCGAAAGTGGAGCAGCTGGGAGAGCTTTGGCGCCCCCTGTCACAGGCCCTCACCCTGGCCTACCAGAGGGGAGGGGTCTCTCCACCTCCCCTTGGAGACCCCTTGCCTCTCCTAGCGTCCATTCTGGTCTCTGCCTTGTAGTCAAGTGCCCCAGTCCCTGCTGTTGCTGTAACCAGGGCATCCTCCGCCCTGTCTTCACAGAGCACTACAAACACCACTGGTTTCCCGAAAAGCCTTCCAAGGGCTCTGGCTACCGCTGCATCCGCATCAACCACAAGATGGACCCCATCATCAGCAAGGTGGCCAGCCAGATCGGACTCAGCCCGCCCCAGCTGCACCAGCTGCTGCCCAGCGAGCTGACCCTGTGGGTGGACCCCTACGAGGTGTCCTACCGTATCGGGGAGGACGGCTCCATCTGTGTCCTCTATGAGGAGGCCCCGGTGGCTGCGTCCTGCGGGCTGCTCACCTGCAAGAACCAGATGCTGCTGGGTAGAACCAGCCCCTCCAAGAGCTACGTGATGGCCGTTTCCAGCTAGACGCCGCGCTGTGGCCGCCACCACCTGCCACCCGCTGGCTCCATGCTGAACTCATCCTGCCGTGACCACAGGCCGCCGCATACCTCAACCTGGGGAACTGTGTTTTTACATGAAGAGCTATTTATATATATATATCTATATTTTTTTTTTAAGAAAAGAGGAAAAACAACCAAAAGATTTTTTTTAAGAAAAACAACAACAACAGAAAAAAACAGCCCACAAATCCTTAAAGGGAGTTGCTTGAAAGTGGCCTCCCCAGGTGCCTTTCAAAGTGTGGAGCCTGTAAGCCAGTGTCTGCCTGTGCAAGGGTGGGGAGGGGCACGCCAGAGAGCCAGGAGCCAACTACTGTGAAGTGAGAGGTGGGGGCAGCCCTGGGACAGGACAGGGGTGACATTCAAACCTTCCTGCTCCCTCCTGGGACACCTGCCCTCCCTGGCCTCTCTCCAACTCAGGGGCATTCAAGCCTGGACTTCAACAATCCTATGTGGCTTAATGTTCTCTTTACTTTTCTGCTGAAATTCTAGGCAGGAAACGCAAAGCCCTCTTGTGCTCCCTTGGGTCAAAGCAGCTTTTAAACTCTACCTTCAGGGACCTGCAGAAGTTGCTTCTCAGTCAGGCATCTGAAGCCTCATCACACACACACACACACACACACACACCCCCACCACCACCAAGCTGCCCCCGCACTCCAAGGGGGTAAGGCAGGGGTGGGGGAGGGAATTCTGCACAAAACCTTTGCTTTTGCTTTGCTCTGCTTTGCGTGTTTGTGTGGTGAATATTTTAGGGGTGATCTGCGGTGTAATTTGGGGACCCAAAGAGTATCCACTGAGGATGTCTTTTTGGCCAAAACCCTTCGTTTTAGAACCACATGTGCAAGTCCTGGTGCTTCTTCTGTAATTCCCTTGGAGGGGGTGGCTCGAGAGCCCCCAGCAGCCCCGGGGCCTTTGCTCTTGCCTTGTTTTGTGAAGAACAACACTCCTGTCTACGCTGCCCACTGGGTCCCAGAGCTGCCCTCTCCTCCAAGGTCAAGACTTCTCAGTCCCTGTGCAATATGCCCCCAAGGTCCCTGGAGGGGCTCGGAGGCTCCTGGAGCCCAGGTGGGTTCAGGAACCGTGTCTCCTCCTCTGCTCGGGCCTTGGCGGGGGGCAGGGCCAGCCTCGCAGGTGTTCTGCGGTTCAGTGGGAGAACAGCCCCCGTTCTGCAAGACTCCTTGCTACTCCCCCAGAGGAGGAGGACTGACATTAAAAGCCAAACCTTGGGCACTGTTTCTACCTGCTGTGCTCAGAGCACCTGTGGGTGAGGCTGCCGTATTCCCCTCCCCCCACCCTTACAATCCAAATCTGTAGACATGTGCAATATTTCCTGATCTGGGTCGGAGACAAACAGAGACCTGCCCTGAAAGAAGTCCTCAGAGACTCGGTAGTGTTAGAAGGCCTTGTTTTCCACACTGAACCTCTTAGAAAGGACGGGGCTAGGGCATCTGGTCAACCTGTCTGTCCCTGCCCCCATACTCTGTTGCCCCTTAGTGCAGAATCTTCTCCCCCAGGACATTCCTCACCCCTCTCACAGCCTATTCCCTTTCCTAGATTTCTTAACCGCCCATTTTTGACACAAAGGTGCTATTTACCAAACTCCGTCTCTACCTGTTTCCCACCAGTTCTGCCTCCTTCTCGAGTCTGGCTTCCGCGTTGCCTTCAGTTGCTTCCAGTCTGTTGCTTTAACGTTCCGCTGTGGGCCTGCAGACCTGAGAGCTAACTCTGTGGCCTGCAGGTCAGCGCCAAGCTGTGAATCGCTGTGGACGGTACTCTGTGTCCCGTCATATGCAGGGGCCTGCTCCAGAGAAGCAGCCTCATGGTCTCATGTTTCATCTCTCTCTTCTCTCTGATGTTCACTTTAAAAACAAAACCCCAGAGCTGGACTGTTGAGCAGGCCTGTCTCTCCCACTAAGTAAAAAATAAAGTGCATTTCTAAGCTATTCTGACAGAAAAGATTTAAAGGTTCCTAGTTGTACCCTACTGTTTTATATGGAAAAACAGCTTTATGGACAAATGTACACTTTTTTTTGTTACTTTAATAAAAATGTAGCAGATGAAGTTGTGTGGTGTAGAGAAGGTAAAATTCCCTGCTGGTACTTTACTCTCAGACCCACATCCTTTGCGTTTCAGAGTGCTCCTTTCCAGTTGCACTGCAGCACGTAGCCGGTGTAGGAGAGACGCTTCCAAGCACGCCCTCTTCCCGGGGACCGGCCCCTGACTTCCCCCCCAGGAGCCCTGTGCTAGCAGTCCCCATGAAGACGCTGGAGGCAGCAGGGTTCTTGTAGTCTAAACATGTCTGGTCTAGCCCATCTCCATCCTGGCCATCCTGTCCTTGCTAGTGCAGTTTTATTTACCCATAATTCATCCATCTGGTCACTCATTAATCCACCTATCCATCCATCCGCCTGCCCATCCCATCTGGTCATAAATCTGTTAACATCCGTTGATCTATCCATCCATCTGCCTTACCCACTCAACAACCCACACAGCTATCCTTCCATCCACTCACAATCCATCCGTCTACCCACCTGCTCGCCGATCCGTCCAACTAGCCCCACACCCAGCCAGCCAGCAGGCTTGTGTTGTTAGTAAACACTGGACATTGAATGTACTAAAAATGATCAAGACAACGTGGAGTGATGGACAAAGGATGGTGAACCCCTTTACAGGCTGGGGCAACATGCTTGGCAATTCCGAAGACGTGCTCTCTTGCCGTTTGCTACCTACCATTCTCATTAGACAAGAAGAGTTAGGTCACAGACTAAGCACTGAAGCTGAATGTATGGCTGAAGTCCAATGCCATATGTTAGTTACAGAGCCACCTCCTCCCTTGGAAAACACGTGTGTGAGAGCAAAGGGCTCTTTGGCTTGAGGCATAGGATTCTGCAAGAGAATAAGAGCAGTCTTTCTCAGCTTGACTTTTTTTTTTTTTCCCCAGGTGGCTTTCCCAGCTTCTCTGGGAAAGAGTGCCAGTATGTTTTTGACCTTGATCTAGTTTCTTCTTGGCCCCAGGTGGGCTGAATTTAAACTAAATTTCCAGCGTGGGGATTTGTGAGCCACGGTGCTCCATTCTCCACGACGTTTGTCAGCAAGCATGAGTCCTGGGTGTGCTGGCTTGGGTGTGGACCACGGAACCTGCATGTGGGGTGCTGATTCTGTGCATGGGAGTGGGGGTGAACAGCCAGGACAGCCATGTCACCAACAGACTCAGTAATGGAGACCCACTAGTATCAACAGGTTGCTGGGTAAAAGAATCTCATGTTTGCTTGTAGCTTCTAATACATTTGTCCTAACTACCCAGTAATAGGAGCAGATGCTGTGGGTGTTGGGACAGTCCTAGGACTGAGGACACATTGCCCGTCCTGGTGCTGGGCATGCTGGACCTGTTATGTGTGGCACAAAGCCTGGCATTCAGACGAGGTTATCTGCAGAAAGAGGCTGACACCTGAACACTTTTCTATGTCTTAAAGCCAAGGAAACTACAGAATAGCACATTCTTCTGGGGGTGGCTCTGGACTCCTAGCCCACTAGTAGTCCTTTGATGTACGTGACAGGCTCCTGTGATCCATGCAACTTCAGCAGCGGTGGAGAGCACTCCATGACCAGCTGAGGGTCCCAGGTCCTGACCTGGAAATGCTGCGGTGGCAGCTGGTGGCCTTCCTGCCTTCAGAGACAAGGCATTGGTAGGCTCATGCTGCTTTTGGCCTCCCTAGTTGGTAAACAGTGCCAGCCAGCTGGGCAGATGTGTGCTTGGTCAGCTGTTAGGAGGTGATAACGCACCTCCCCAGAGCATGTGGACAAGGCCGTGAGAGCGGAAGATTAAGAGCCCATCCTGGCTCCCGATAAGGACTTTTGGGTGGGAAAGACCTTGAGGTGGCAGCAAACAAGCTTTGGGTGGGGGACAGAGGATGAAACACACTGCTGGGGGCCCAGCGTCTGTACCTCCAGACCCTTTGGGAGGAAAGATAGTGGGGACATAGGGGCCCTGCCCCCAGCTGCACCAGCCTCCCTGGCCCCACCAAGAGCAGCACTGGACAACAGTTCTGTGCTGGGATGAGGACTCTGCCTCTTGGCCCACAGCATGTGTCTAGACAAGCTCCTTCTGCTTTCTGGTGCCTAAATGAGGGTGTTAGATGAAACGACTCTTGTTTTCTTCCTCAGCTTTGGTTCTCTAAGCCATCTCCATTATATCCTGGCTGTCACTGGAGCGGGGGGCATTTCCTACCATTATTACCATGCTGTTCAATTAGCTCAACCAAAAGGCAATTCGACCTGTGAAGAGGAATGAGCAATACATTTCCTACTCGGGCCAGACAGCTGCCCACCTGCCTGCTAAGGTTTCCGTGTCCGTGCATGGTAAGACAAGGCGGGATGGCCAGGTTTGGGAGCTCAGCTCTGGGGCAGGGTGGCCAGTCTGAACTCTGTTCACTGCTCATGCAGCCTGTGAGAAGGGGCCTCCAGAGCAGGCCTTAGGAATCCCCAATGGTAAAGTGTAACTGAGAACAGCACCCATTTCTGAACATTGTCACTGACAAATGAGAGACACAGGTGACTTGGAATGGTCCTGGAACCTTTCAGTGTCAGCAGGACTCAGACCACAAAGACCTGATTATCTCCTGCCTTTGGGACTGAGTTGGTCCAGGGGTGAGGACAGACACTCTGGTCTGCCAGAAATGGAGGGAACCATTGTTAAACAAACAGTACCTACCAGAACCTTCAAGAAGGCCTGTGGTTCCCACTAGCCAAGTACCCTGTGGCCTCTCCCCTAATCTCCACTATTTGTGTACAAATCTTCACAATGTTGGTGCTGGTGCTATGGCTCATCTGGCTAAGCCACTTGTCTGCGGTGCTGGCATTTCATATGGGCAACAGTTTCAGTTGCAGCTACCCCATGTCCAATGCAGGTTGCTGCTATCGCACCTGGGGAAAAAGAGGAAGATGGCCCAAGTCCTTGGGCCCATCCTCACATGGGAGACTTGGTTAAGGTTCCTGGCTCCTGGCTTCAGCCTGGCCCAGTACTCGCTCCTGCTGTCATTTGGGGAGTGAGCCAGTAGATGGAAGATCTCTCTGCAACTCAAATAAATAAATCTTAA